TCCAGTCTAATATTATTTACTGTCATCATGGAGAAGAGGAACACATCAGCTATTAGAGATGAGTTATTAACACTGTTATGAGCAGAGATGAAAGAATCTCTCCCTTCAGCAACACTTTAAATTTAGTTTAAAATAATGGCTTTTTCTCCAGGTCAAAACATGTATAAGGAATGAAATCTGTGAACGTGTCTGTATTTTTACAGCACATTAATAAATGAAGTGCTGCAGAATTTCCCTCTAACTCATCATTTTAGACAGTCTTATTCAGGAAATCCTGTAGGGTGTGATGTACAGGTGTATTTGAGCTGTGTGACGCTATAACTCCACTTTAAACATGTTTCAGTCTTCTACAGCTGAGCGATGAGAATAAACCCTGAGTGCTGCAGAAATGGACACTCAGCCGTTCTCCCGTGTCCACATTTGAGGATGTTGTGCATCACCGCTGTCTCCTCCTCTTCTTCTTCTGCAGATCTCGCTGGGTTATTTGAGTTACTGTCATCCTTTTCTGACCCCAGCTTCAACACGGCAGTTTTACCCATAGCATGGACACCTCTGAGAACTTTCAGACAGAGTTGTGTGTGAAAACGGCACTCGATCAGCACTTTCTGAAACACTCTGACACTTTCAGAGACACTTACATCTCCATTCTGACTTCTGGACCACGTTTACAAACCTAAACACACTCACATATGCCACTAATGCAGGGGGTTGAACTCTTTTAGGAGGCTGAATGCTGGATTCTGATTGGCTGATGAGCACTTTAAGGTGTGCTCTTACATTTCTTAGCTACAATCAGCAGCTCCAGATGAAGACACTTCTGCAAACTGCTGAATATGGAGGAGCGTTTACACCTCTGTGTGTGTGTGTGTGTGTGTGTGTGTGTGTGTGTGTGTGTGTGTGTGTGTGTGTGTGTGTGTGTGTGTGTGTGTGTGTGTGTGTAGAGGCTCCTCATTACCCATGAGGCTGTGCTGCCCGTCAGTCTCATCTGAGCTCTGATATCCAGCATTATGATGCCGCTAACCTCAGTGACCCCTGCTGAAACTCTGCAGTACGGGTTCATTTCTTATCTTATATCATATATATTTATATCATACGACTCAATCGAGAACTGCGGCTACAGTTCAGGCATTTTCCATTCATTTTTCCTCAACTGGAATGAGACTGAAACAGATGTGTGATTCACACTAAACTCAATCAACTATTATATAAATCACTCAGTGTGTTAATGTGATGGGGAGCGTGTGATGCTGTTACTTACTGTTGTTTAACTTGTCACACTTTTTAAACCATTACAGAGTTGACTATGGCTGAGGCGACGATGGCGGAGTCGACGTTGGCAGAGTCCATAATGGCGGAGTGGGCGATGGCGGAGTTGACGATGGCGAAGTTGACTGTGGGCAGAGTTGACAGTGACAGATATGAGAACAAAGTTGAAGGTAACAGAGTTGACTGTGGCAGAAATCCTGGTGGCGGAGTTGAGAGTGGTGGAGTTTACATGGTGGAGTTGAAAGTGGCAGATATGATAACAGAGTTGATGGTGGTGGAGTTGAAGGTAACAGAGTTGACAAGAACAGAGGAGAACAGAGTTTACTGTGGCAGAGTTGACGATGGCGGAGTTTACTGTGGCGGAGTTGATGAAGGTGGAGTTTACTGTGGCGGAGTTGACGATGGCGGAGTTGACGATGGCGGAGTTGACGATGGCGGAGTTGACGATGGTGGAGTTGACGAAGGTGGAGTTTGACGAAGGTGGAGTTGACGATGGCGGAGTTGACGAAGGTGGAGTTGACGATGGCGGAGTTGACGAAGGTGGAGTTGACGATGGCGGAGTTGACGAAGGTGGAGTTGATGTAGGCGGAGTTGACGATGGCGGAGTTGACGATGGTGGAGTTGACGATGGCGAAGTTGACGATGGCGGAGTTG